AATGTTAATTTTTATTTCAAAAAAGACATACAATTTTTCCAAAAAAAAGGTATTCCCGCCATAATTTTTTCATGCTGGTCCCTGAGGATGGCCGACATAGATTGGCAAGGATCGGAAGTGAGAGGCAGGATAGCGCTGAGTTTCGTGGTAGTTGGGACGCTGTCCTTAATCCTGACGCTACTAATCTACGTTCTGGTCGTCTATACAAAAGACACTAAATAGACAGCGCGCGGATTTCTTTTAAGTTTTTCGCTATTTCCGGTTTGTTTTCGGTAATTATTTTTATTCTGTTGCGATACTTAATGATGATTTCGTTATGGTTTTTGCCTCGTTACACGGTACACTTTTACTTTCAACTGTCCCCGTTGTTTTTTCTTCTATTTTTCCTATTATTACTGTTGTTATTATTATTATTATTATTATTATTATTATTATTGCAGTTTTATGCGTGCTTTTTTATGGGGCCAGATGGAGCCATTTGCTTTTGTCGTTGCAACATCAATGTATCATCTATCACCTGTCGCAAATTAATTAACTACATTACCTAATCAAAATAACGAATAAACCTTTTGTTTTTATTACTATTTATTTCCAAATGAATGAATGAAAGAGTGAATGAATGAATTGAATGAATTAATTAATTTATTGTTGAATTAATGAATAAAATAACTTTCCGTAAAAAATTCAATGAAAATAATCATAGCAATATATAAAAATTGAAAATAATTCTTGCATATAAAAAACTCTGAATACTCATAATTTTAAGTTTTTCTTTTTGTATATATGTGCAGCGAATTACAAATATATTTATAAGGCAATGATATCATCACACACATGAGAATAGAAAGAGAATATATAGAGATATACATGTAAATTTGTGTGTGTGTGTGTGTGTGTGTGGTGTGTGTGTGTGTAACTACAGTAATAGTATATCAGTAGTATTAATAATATTATCATAAAAAAACATTGGTAGCGAAAAAATTACAGAAAAAAAAACATCTATTACATAAGTGACTGAATAGGTGACCGAACTTTGTGTGTGTGTGTGTCTGTGCGTGTGTGTGTGTATGTGAGTATATGTACGTGTATGTGTGCGAGCGCGTATGTGTTTGTGCGCAGTCTTAATAAAAGGCACATAAACGCTGATGGCATCAAATCAACAACATCAACAAAAACATTAACAAAACAACAATGAGCTCAATAAAATAGGAACAAAAAAATGATTACACAACTGATTAACTAATCAATTAACTGAATAAAATGATCAATTAATTAATTAATTGAAAAAAATGTTTCCAATTAAATAACAAAAATATGACAAGATATGATATGATGAATGAACATAAAATTTGCCAAAAAAAAACTTGAATTCAAAATCACTAAACCTTTATAACAACCAATCAATCGTATGTTAGAAAATAAAATGAGACGAATATGTATGTGTGTGCGTGTGTGTGTGTGTGTGGTTTGGTGTGTGTGTGTGTGTTACACATCTATAACGTCGACTTAACATGTTTGAGGACAAACCTTTGACATAAAAAAAAGGCTTTTCGACATATTTTAGCAGTTAACGAGAATAAATGACTTCTTAGAAATGCACGCACATACATACGCGCGCACACACACATACACATGAACACACACATGAACACACACCCACACACATAGTTTGTTGATTAAAGAGGCATGGTTTCACTAGAGGAATTCAAGACGAAAAAAAAACGAAAAAAATTGAAGAAATGTAGAATTGAGGAGTAAACAAGGAGAGTATGAAGTAATCGTTTGATCATTCGTTCATTCATTTTTTCACTCATTCAATCATTCATTTAATCCCTCACTCGTTCTTTTTTTTGTCTAATCAATCATTCATTCATTCTTTCGTTCGTTAGTTCGTTCACAATCTTTCTTACATCATTTACTATACAATATTATTTCATTCCATGAGCTCCACAATCTTTAAAAAAAAGTCTTTCACAAAGTTATGTGTACATTTCATTCATTCATTCATTCATTCATTCATTCATTCATTCATTCATTCATTCATTCATTCATTCATTCATTCATTCATTCATTCATTCATTCATTCATTCATTCACTCATTCATACATTCGTTCATTTGATTATTCATCCATTAATTTATCTCTCATTCACTCATATAACCACACATTTGTTCATTCACTTACTATTTTATTTGATTAATCATTCATTCATTCATTCATTCATTCATTCATTCATTCATTCATTCATTCATTCATTCATTCATTTTATCAATCAACCATTCAATCAATCAATCAACCATTCAATCAATCAATCAATCAATCCATAAACTGTTTCTTGACTGCGCATGTCCGATCCAGAGCAGCCTCCATTCTTTTTTTCATAATCACTACTTCGTTCTCTCTATCCGACAACCCGTCCTCTTCGTCATTGGCTATCATAGCAACCGGTGTATTATCATCATCATCATCCTCATCACCACCACCATCATCATCATAATTTCCCTCAATATCATTATCATTATCATCATCGTCTTTATCATCGTCATCATCACGCAAAAGTGACGATGGTGGAGTTGAGACAGGCATCAGACTCTCATCATCACCATCATCATCATCGTCGTCGTCATCATCATAATCATTATCTTCCTCATCATCCTCGACTTCATTCTTACATGCACCAACATCGTCATCGTCATCAGCGTCGTAGAATCCAGATGCATTACAATTTGTCCCAAATGAAGTTATCGTAAATACGCTATTATCACTACTATTATTATTGTTATTATTGCTAATGTTATTGTTATTATTGGTGTTTTTGTTAATGTTATTATTTTTATTGTTATTATTGTTATTGTTGTTATTAATCTTGTTATTAATTTGTTGTGGTATGTTGATTGACAAGCGCTTATTCAGCTGCATCTGTTTCTTTGCACTGTAACTCATAGCCAGTGTGCCTTCATCTTTCTTAATAATATTATTATTATTATGTTTATTATTATCATTATTGATATTGTTGTTATTGTTGTTGATACTGGTGTCGTAATTTTTCGGGACTTTATTCTTATATTTTGATCTTCCTGTAGAAAAGATGACATTAAAATTTAGCGCTATAAAATGGAAGTAATATTTTTCTTTAATGATCTTACTGTGTTTATGATCTTTTGATCTGGGGTTTTCCAGCGGAATTCCCCCGAGAATATCCGGTTTCATGATCAGCTCACTCCTTCTATCTGATTCTTTCAACTTTTTTGACGGAAAAATCCATTTAATAAATTCTAATGAATTTAAAATTAAAAAAACAAGATAAATTAACAAACTTTTCAGTTTTTATTTTGTTTGATTGATTTAAAAAAAATAATAAAAAGAAAAAAAAAGAAAAAATTCATCACAAACCTTGTTAAAATGGTCCTTCTGAATTATTCTACCTCTGGTTCTGGCAGATGGTAAGGTGTGGGAAACCTTGTTCCGCCCGTCAAGAGCAGGCGGCAAAATGTCGGACGAATCCTTTTTCGGAATCGAACCACCTTCCGTTTTTTTACCCATGATTTGTGATTTTAGGAGGCCAGCTGTATTTGATTTGATCCTATCTCCAGTCGAGAGCAGGTAGGTCTTCAGTTTCTCGCGATCAAAATTAGGGAACAGGGATGAGAAAGATGTCGGAGTGTCCGGACTGGAGATTGAAAAAAGGGCATTTTTACACACCACACAAACACACACACACATACACACACAAATATACACACACATAAATATATATATACACACACACCCACATTCACTTCTTTTGGTTGGTTGGTTCATACTCACTCGCACACACTCACACACACTCACACATACACACTCACACCACACACACACACACACACACATACACACTCACACCACACACACACACACACACACACACACACACTTGTACACACACACTCACACGCACGCACATTCACACACACACACGCACACCTTGTTGAGGCCTCTTTTTGGGACGCTAAATTGTTCTTGATACAGTCGTTAGCCAGTACCCCATCCTGATAGATTGTGGGTAGGTGGGATAGGTGGCGTTTGAATTTGTTCACTTTCATCAGCTGTTCCATTCTGTGTTGTTGCGTTTCATGTGTCATTAAGTCATTTATTTGCTCATTTCGTTTCATTTATTATGTTTATTAATTCAATCATTCATTCATTCCTTCATTTATTTGTTTGTTTAATCAATCTAGTTTTCAATTTACAAACGTATTAATCACCAATTAATTATTATTATTCATTAATCAATTATTATCAATCTCTAAATTTATCAACCAACCAGCCAACCAACCAACCAATCAACCAACCAACCAATCAACTAACCAGCCAACCAACCAATCAATCAACCAACCAATCAACCAACCAACCAACCAACCAATCAACCAACCAACCAACCAACCAACCAATCAACCAACCAACCTGACGACTCGTTCCTCCCTTTCATCCAGCTTCTGCATCATACTCGTCAATTCAGTGTACAGTTTGTTTGTACGCTCCAATTTCTGCTCATACAACAACCGTATGTCCTGTGCGTGTCTGTGTGTGTGTGTGTACGTGTGTATATGCATCTATGTGTGTGTGTACGTGCGTATATGTAGTTGTGTGTGTTTGTCTACGTGCGTATACGTATTTGTCTGTGAGCGCGTGTGCATGAGTTTGTATGACATAGTATATATGTCTGCGTGTAAATTTATGTCTAATGATATATATATTTAATATTTTTTCGCGCTCGCATGTATGTGTGCCTGTATGTGTGCATGTGTGTGTGTGTGTGTGTTTGTGTGTGTGTGTGTGTGTGTGTGTGTGTGTGTGTGTGTGTGTAATCGCCCAATTAACGTCATTACGAAACAAGGAAACGTTAAAAGATATTACTGACTATTCACACACACACGCGCATGCACACATGCACAAGCACATAATTCACAACCCATACTGACTAAACGTTAAACTAATTGGAAAACATTCTACCAAAATGTATACAATTTAGAATCAAACTGATTTAAAAAAAAATTAACATAAATGTCATTAACTCAACATCGATCTAACCTCAGTTCCTCCTTCCTCTTCCTAACAAGGTCCTCCTCAATTTTCGGACAATTCAAACCTTCTTTCTGCATAGTGGCCAGTTTTTCGCTGATTTCAGCGGCCCATTGTTGCTACGGTAAAGAAAATTATTCATAAAAATAATTTTTAAAGCAATGAAATAATTATAGGATGAAAATTATTGCTATAATTGAAACCAACGATCAAAATAATATATAATAATAGTCTATTGGCCAATCATATCGACTTATTTATTGACCAATCATAATGGTTTAATCACATCGGCCAATCAGATGAAGACCTGCAAATTATAAAACTCCTCCTCCTCAATGCTCAGCCAATCGTTGGCTGCTATCTCCAGGTGCATCTGTATTTGACGAAATGATGGTCGGTTTCGTGGTTTGGCGTTCCTGTCAATCAATCATTCACTGACATTTACTTTCTACGAGTAATTTAAATAATGTATAATATTTATAATAACAATTGTAACCATATTTTTTTATCATTATAAATGAGAAGAAAAATATCAGTGATGATGAATCTGAAGGCTGAAAACATGGTTCAGTTGTTCATCAAGGTAAATCTAGTCAACCATTCATCCATTTTTTTAACCATCTTATCAATCAATCAACCAACCAACCAATTAACCGACCAACTAATTAACCAACCAACCTATCAATCAATCAACCAACCAACCGGCCAACCAATCAACAAACCAATTCAGCCAGCCAACCAACCAACCAGCATTCCTTCATTAGCAACTTAAATCCTTGTGGGAATGTTTCGGGAATGGGAAGGAGCATTGTGTGACTGGCAACTCCCCACATAATGGCAGATGAATCCACGTGCCTGTACGGGATCTCCAACGTCATCAATTCCCAAAGGACCACACCGAATGACCTGGAATCGGGTCAGCGGAACAATAATAATGGTAATAATATAATATAAATTATAACAAATGAGAATAATAATTATGGTCATGATAATAATAAAGTTAACACTAGTAACCATACACTTGATAATTCTCTAAATCCCTTCATTCATCCGTTTATCATTCAATCATTTATTCATTCATTTATTCATTCATTCAATCGTTTATCCAAATCTCTTCATCAATTTATCAATCATTCATTCACTCTAATCCCTTTTTCTTCTTCTTCTTCATCTTCTTCTTTTTTTTCCTCCCTTTTCTTTTATAAAATCATTCATTCACTCATTCCACTAATCCCTAACTAGTGACTAACCAGACGTCGATCTTATCGGAGCAGGGTTCATTCCTGATGACTTCCGGCGCCATCCAGACGACGGTTCCAACGAAGGACATCTTGGCACTCCTCTCCTTCCACTCGCGACACGTGTCGAAGTCAGAAATCTTGGCTACATCATTGTGCGAGATGAGAATGCTGGTTTTGTGGAGTAATAATAATTATAATAATAATTATAATAATATATAATAATCATTATTATTATTATTATAATGGGAACTCTTTTTATTATCATCAAACCTCAAAATATAAAATTAATTATCATAAATATACAAAATGTTTATAGTCATCCATGCTCATTCTAATAATAATAATTATAATAATAATAATAATATTAAAAACGAAATAATAAAATCATCGCCACTTTTTTATTTTTACTTTTAATCTAAAATGTTTTTTTTTGTCCAATACAAAGGCGAAATTTGGAAGATTGTTTCGATTGTTAATTTGTTTCAATGTTACATTGATAGATGAATGAGTGAATGAAAAAAACGAAAAAATGATGGATTGATTGATTAAATAAATAAATGAACGTATAAACAAATAAATGAATGAACAAACGAAAAAATGAATGAAGAATCCGAAAATCGAACTATGCGTAATTGGAAAAAAGTTAAAAAAACTGTGCAAACGATTAAAAAAGTGAATGCAAACAAGTGAAAAATTGAAGGCAAAAAATATACGAAGTTAAACTTTATAGATCGGCGAAACACACCTGACGTTGAGCCCACTAAACAAACACCACACAATGTGTGTGTGTGTGTGTGTGTGTGTGTGGTGTGTGTGTGTGTGTTTGTGTGTGTGAACAAACATACTCATCCGACTCATCCAAAAATTCGTTATTTAAATTTTTCTAAAATTTTCATCCAAAAACCGCCAAAAATATGAAATCACCACAAACTTGGGTGATTTTAAATCTCGATGAATGATTCGATGAGAGTGTAAATAAGCCATGCCATTGGTTATCTGTCTTGACCAATCAAACAGTAGGTGCGGCGGAAGTGTTTTTGCAAATCGTAGAACTTCGTACAGTTGGCCGTATGGGCAGTATTCCATGACAATACAGAAACATGGTGGCTGTGTACATATGCCTCTGTGTGTGTAGTGTGGTGTGTGTGTGTGTAATGTGTGGTATGGTGTGGTGTGATGTGTGTGTGTGTGTTTGTGGATGAGCGTATGTGTGTGGTGTGCACTAACTTTAAAGTGATGATATTAGGATGGTTCAGTTTCCTTAAATGCCTAACTTCAGCCTCGGAGATGCTCCTAACTTTCTTGACGGCCACCAGCTCGCCTCGCCACCTGCCGAGGAAAACTGCGCCGTGGGTTCCGCTGCCCAGCCATTCCAGGTCTGATATACTCTCGAACTCTATCTCCCAGCTGCTGTCTGGCGGTTCGATTGGTTAGTGTTATAACAAATAAATCGCAGTATTATTTTTTTATTATGACACTATATTGTTAATTATATTATAATATTATATTATAACACTATATTATTAATTATATTATTAACATTATTAATTATATTATTATTGTTATTATTATTATTATCAGTAGTACTAGCAGCAGCAGCAATAGTAATAGTAATACTATATCATATTATATTATAACACCATATTATTAATTATATTATTAACATTATTAATTATATTATTATTATTATTATTATCAGTAGTACTAGCAGCAGCAGCAATAGTAATAGTTGTAGCAATATACTGTATGAAATAATGCATCAGCAACAACACACATTGCTGAGATTTCATAGCATTTGAATCCAGTCATTGCGTGAATAGTGCCAAGCATCATAACCATTATACCATTGCATAGGTGTTATATACATAAATAACTTCTAAACCCAGCCCTAAATACATGCTTAATAAATAAATAAATAGAGGTATTCAAGAGTGTGAAATTGTTTGTAAGTTTATAATTGTTGCTAATCTCTGCAAGTTTTAGCTAAGAATACACTCTAAAACTACCCCAACCTAATGTTCAAAAGTGAATTTAATGTTATAGAATCTAGATGTTCACCATGGCTTTATTATTTTAGGTGTCGAAGTGAAAAATTGAGTAAGGTTTGTGAAAAAAATTATTTAAAAATTTAATTTTAAAGAGTAAACTAATAATATTTATAGAAAATTTACAGCACATTCATCACTAACACCTAATTATAGATTATATAATTGTACTAATTTCACTCAATAATAAATAAATATCTATGAAATATAAATAAAATTAACCATCGTTAATGTTATTCTTGTTTCTACTAAAAAGGTTTAACATCGGCTTCAAGCAGCCCAGTATGCCTTCTATAAAACTTTTCCCTGATTTGAAATCTTTCTCCAATTTGTAACCATCACTGTCTCCATCTTCATTGTCGTCGAGAGAGTTTTTGAGGTGGGAGTGTAGGATCCTTTTCTTGTTGTTGAAACTATTGCAGCTGTTGAAGTTATCAGTCTTGCTGTTGAAATTATCATTCAGTTTATTGATGTTTAAGGCGTTATTTAGGTGATATTTGTTGTTCAAGTTGTTAGGATAATTAGGAGAGTTAGTCTTTTTCATGATGAGGTTTTCGTCGTTGTTCACTTTTCTGTTAGCAATTTCTAGCTCAGTGATTTTGTTTTGTAACCGTTGTAACTGTAACTAACTAACGTTTCGACATGACGTTAATTTTGAAATTCTAAAAATGAATTAGAAAACAATTAAAATATATTTAGATCATAATTTTAATTTTTAATTAAGCAATTTCGTCACTTTATTTACTTTCATTCAAAATTGGTTGCATGTTTTCGTTTCTCACTTTAAATTCATAAAGGTGAATAAAGGTGTTTAATTGATTAAATTATCAAGCGCTCAACAATTTTAAATTTGAATTTAAAAAACCTGGCCATATAAAGACGTTTTCCATTTCAATTTTACAGTACTTAACTGTTTCAAAGTCATTTTTGGATTGAATGGCGAAAAATGGCGTTGCTGCTTTTGTTTTTCTTTATCTTTTTTGTTTGGTTTCTTTGATGAATTTGTGCCTTTTGGCAGGCCCAGAAGGGGGCAAAAATACGGGCCCGTCATGTATAAAATAATACAAATAACAACAGTTCTCAGACATTTTTTAGTACAAATACTACTTCTTCACGTTTTTTCAAATCATTTTGCCCTTTACAACAGCTTTGTACTGGCATTATAACTTTTTTTATTATAATCAGATTCATATTCTCACACTTAAGAAAGCATTCTCAATGATTCCGAATCAGTGATCAGTGAGTAAATACAAACACAACCTGTCTGCGTGTGAGTGTGTGCGCGCGCGTGCGCGTATTTGTGTGTGTGTAGTTTGTGTGTGTGTGTGTAGTTTGAGTGTGTGTGTGTGTGTAGTTTGTGTGTGTGCGCGTGTAAGAGGGGATTCGAAAAGTGAAACGATTATACGCGCGTAACTTAAGTGCGTTTACTTATGTAGTATTAATAAATTTAAAATTATTGAATGGAATCGGGATTGACACACCTTTCATGAATACCGCACCCAGCCTTGGCCGCATACTAGACTAGACACACGAGCAAATCTAGAAAACTTTGGCGAGAAAAAGCCAAAATAATTAAAAATTTGAAATTTGACTGGGGCAAAGAAATTAACTAAATTGGTACTAGTGGGGCTAAAATTATATCACGTCAATTTCTGGTCGAATTAGTGAGTGTTTAGTGTAATAAGATATCGATTCAAGATACTATACAACAAAAACGTCGGGTATACAACAAAAACGTCGGGAATTCCATTACCAAATTATACAGGCTCCGAAGATTTAGTACTGTATGAATCTAATAACAAACCACTAGCTTAATTTACTATATCAGCGCCACATTCCAAAAAATCGACCCGTGTGTCTACGTGTTTCTGTATTTGTATGTGTGTGAGAGTTTGTGTTGGTGTGCGCTTTTGCCTGTTTGTGTTTGTAGTGTGTGTGTGCGTGTGTGTGTGAGTGTGTGTGTGTGAGTGTGTGTGAGTGTGTGCGGCGATACGAAACATTAAGTGCGTCTGTGTTAATAGAAAATTTAAAAGTTCTGAATGGTATGCCGTTCAGGGAGTGACCAACATCAACATGCTGTGCTCCCAACTTTAAGCATGACTCATCCTCGAAAGTTATATAGACTAAAAGCCAAAGGGAACTAACTACCCGGAAAAAGCTAGCGAACCTTCATTAGCGAACCTTCATTTATAAGCTATTTTGGATAAATTAAAAGTATAGTTAGTTAAATTTTTTCATAAAATAAAAAATTATTTTAAGTTTATAATGATATTTAATTATTTAGTATCAACTGCGGGTTGGGTAGTGTCAGGGTTTTAGTTAGCTGATTTAGACAAGTTTGAAACGTTAGTATGGCACGTGTACTGATAGGTCCTTGCCTGCTAGAATATTGTAATAGTTCGATTTATAAACTACCTCAAAGTTTAATTACGATGCTCCTACCCATTCAGAGTTAAGCTGCTTAGTTGATAACCGCCTAACAAAAGTTTCATCACGTATGGTCGATATTAAAAAAATAATCTCCACTGGATGCCGAAAAAATAATGTGTCATGGTATCAAATATTATTTTGTTTGAAATAATTTTACAAATATATTAATCACCACACACACAACACACACGCACGCACACAGATACACACACACGACATGCACGCACACACGTCTGCCGATGTACTTGGAAACCATTTAGGATTCCGAATTAGACTTGATTATATTTCAGTTTCGCGTACTTCGCTCATATTTATTTTTTTTTTTATGTCTTATGTCTTTTTATGTATGTGTAAATATTTGTGATTGTGTGTTTGTGTGTGTGTTAGTTTGCGCGTGTGTGTGTATGTGTGTGTGCATTTGTCTTCGTATTTGGGTATATGCGTGCAAATATTTACTATGGGTGATAATGAATTTTACAAAATATGGGTTGTGAATTATGCGCCTATGCGTGTGTGTGCATGCGTGTATGTGTGAACTGTGAATTTGCAAATTTTCCTGGATAAAAAATGATGATGAGTGTGTGTGTGTGTGTGTGTGTGTGTGTGTGTGTGTGTACGCTTGTATGTGTACGTATAAATAAAGTCTGTTTAAGTACGCAATGATATTTCATATTATTAATATTTTATTTTATTTTTATGATGTTTATATTGATCCAAATTTTGATGTTGGGTTTCCCACCGTTTGTGTGTGTGTTTGTGTGTGTGTTTGTGTGTGTGTTTGTGTGTGTGTTTGTGTGTGTGCTTGTGTGTGTGTTTGTGTGTGTGTTTGTGTGTGTGTTTGTGCTTGTGTGTAAGTGTACTTGTATGTGTGTGTGCGTGTGTGTGTGTGTGTGTAAGTGTAAGTGTAAGTGTAAGTGTACGTGTATGTATGTACGTGAATGAATATATGATGGTTCCATGAAATCCCTGGCAAGTTCGTAATAAATCTTTTTCGCGGTTCCCTCTGTTCTAACGCAGATATCGTCTGCCTTCTTTTTTATTATACTTTCAGTCATTCATTCGACTGTGTGTTTGTTCATTCATCCATTGATTCCTTCCTTTGTTCGTTTATATATTTATTTATTTATTCAATCAATCAATCATTCAAGTGATTATTTTTCATCAGGTTTTCATCCACTTGTTCACTCATTCATTTGTTTCTTCAATCCATTTGTCATTCACTCATTAATTTACAGTTTGATTCAGTCAATCATCATTCCAACATTTACTCACTCATTCATTTATTCATCCACTCGTTCACTCATCATCAGTCCATCCAGATATAACTTTTATGAAAGAGCCGTTGGATCATAAGAATAAATTTTAAACAACTTGCTATTGCGAGAACTGTAAGAGAGAGAGAGAGAGAGAGAGAGAGAGAGAGAGAGAGAGAGAGAGAGAGAGAGAGAAAGAGGTGTGTGTGAGTGTATGCGTGTGTGTATATGTGTGTGTGGGGGGGGGAGTGTTTGTTTGTGTGTGTGTGTGTGTGTCTTTATTTCAGTGTTCACACATTAATAATGTATGATAGTGGTTTTGTTTTTGCAGACTTAAGTTATCATATCATGATCATCGAGATATGGCTGCGTATGTTTATTTGTATAGAAGTATATAATAAAAACTGTGTGTGTGTGTGTGTGTGTGTGTGCGTGTCTATGTAAGTATTTGTCTGTGTGTTTATGTACGGT